AATTAATAATTGTCTCAGTAAATGCCCAAACCCTACAGAACTGGTGCCTTCAGAGAGCCACTACATTACATTTTGGCTATGGCAACGTTACATATTTGGCGTCCCTGAACGGCTATGAATCACTACACTGGAAAGGGTCCAATAGGTGAGGTCCATGAGTGCAAGATGGTGAAGGTTGTCAGCAACAAGGGCTTAGGAGGCAGAAAGATATCTTATACCGAGCAGTGAACAAGGGTTTAAGTAGGGGTTTAAGAGGGGTGTGGTGCGGTAATTGGGTAATGGGAGTTAATTAGGGCCAGCTGCGCTTATAATACAACCAAAGCTGATTTTTTCATCAAGTGACTTTATTGATCTGAACAATGTACTGTAGGTTTCTTGTGCACCTGTATCCCATCCCAGACTAAGAAACAGGTCTGATGAACTGGACTTCATACCCATCTTAGAAACACTAATCTCAGCTCACCACTACCAAGAAAGTAAAATGTGCACTCTCTGCCAAACAAGATGGATGAACTGGCTTTGCTCATTTACCGTAATCAATAAGCAATTCAACCTTAGACAGGATTACTCTAACTGCTCTGTGCTCTGTTTCACCTGGTTAGGTTCAGTGGTATCAGATTCCGTGGTGAATCTGCAGGATTTCTCTCTACTTTTTTCAGACTGGACAGCCAATCGTTTACTTAAGCTGTTTATAATGCACCAGATGCAAATTACTTTTGCTATCCAACAGTTAGTGTTGAAAATCACTGAGGCTAAAAATTCATATCCAGATTCCCCAGTCATTGTTTTGGGAAATTTTAAGCACTCAAATCCAAGGAAGGTTTTCCCCAGATAAAAACAGCAGATAGAAGTTGCAACTAGGAAGGACAGAACACTGGAACACTGCTATGGTGCTGCGCACTATTCTATGGACATACAGAGCGTAAGTCCTCAGCTCTTTCAGTCAGTCATGTCATACTGCAACATTTCTTATCCCAAGATATAAACAGATCCAACGCATGTAAACCAACAATAGGAAGTGTAAAACAGTGGTCTGACGAGACTGAGAAAGTGCTGAAGAAAGATGTGAAGACTGGGGTTTGAATTTAATCCTTTC